CTTCTTCTCTCTCTCTCTCTCTCTCTCTCTCTCTCTCTCTCTCTCCTTTATCCAGCTCTGTGCCCGGCTTCGACTCTCGACGTGTTACGTCGGAACAAAAGGTGTCGCAACCTCTCGCGCGTATTTCGTTACGCAAAAAGGCGCACGTCATAAGCGGCGTACGTGGTAATTACTCTCGCAGATTGCCGGGTTCGTGAATGGTTCGTCGAAGGCGGATTAGAGTGATTAACAAACGTGTTAAAGCATAAAATGCGAGCCGAAGTGCGTAATCAATAAGATATTCCGAGCACCCAGACTTGGCGTTCGTCGGTTGCTCGCCGATTAGTGGGGGTTTTGCATAAATTTTTCCAGCGAGTTAAGCGCGCGCGTAACCAATTAGCCATTGAACCAGTGGCCTGTTATTTTTGCACGGCATCTGGCAGATATGAATATCGAAAAAAAAAGTAACGGATCTGTTAATATTGTTGTTTCATACACTCGTTTTTGGAATATTTGAATATATCATATATCACTATACAATATATATGTATATGATTGTTGGCATTTTGAAACAGAAATTTTCATAAATTTACTGCAGTATCGAATATCATAACAAATGTGGAAAATAAACGTAAAATCATAGCTCGTAATTAATATCTACGTATTTTTACTGTATCATTAATCATTAAGAAAAATATCGGCTGGTCGATAACCATGTGTCTCGTGTCCTTGCATCATAAATCAATATACTCTTTCGTGTGTCAATTAAAAATTATCGATACAAAGCCGATGGCCGTAATAAGCGGAAATCAGTTTTGAAAACGCGAACGTAGCAATTTCTCTTTCGATATAGCTCTACGAACAAGTTAAATTAGAAATCTCGTGGGCTTGTCGTCGCCCTTTGTTTCGAACCGGTTTTGCAGACGAGAGAAAACAGACTCGTCATTATTGATCCGTCAATGATCAATAATAATCTATGATATACATTCACAGCGGTAAAAGTCGATCACGCGTAACGACAAAATTATTGTCGAGGTAACGGAACATAATTAATCAGATTACGTTTTGGATGTGATGCGCGTCAAAAGGAATACTATCGCAAAAGTGTTATCTCTTTCAATAAATATCATTAGAAAATTTTAACATAAAAATTCTTAGAAAAGCATAAGTATCGTAAGTATTTATATTTTAATTATTTAACAAAATTTTAAGATATAAAATTTTAATTTAGCTTAAATATTTATTTTATTCAATATAATTTTATTCAAATTATTAATACTGTGAACATATCTAATTTCAAGTTAAAGACTTAATATACGTCAGATGGACTAAGTAGAGCATTGTTAGCTGCTACCGAAGGTACGATGATACGCGAGAGTCAGAGAGCCGTGAACGAAATCACGAATAGTGCACTGACAAAGGCCTTTTTAAATTGTAATGAGCTGCCAAAGAGTGAATTATGTGCCGTCCAAGTGCCATCGAGTCCTCGGCGAACCCCATCCTATAAAACCCTGCTGTACACGCGTATATATTCCGGCATCCCTGTGGCCGCTCGGCCACCCCACGTCATGAATATATTTACATTGATCGGCCGTCTCGGCATTTTTCATTTGGCTCGTCGTTGTGTTCGGACGAGCCGAAGTGTGTCCATCCCTTCGATACTTTATTTATATCGATGGCCGGGACGTGTCTGTCTTTTCTCCATGCAGTTTTCATCGCACAGGAACTCGCGTATGAGCGATGAATCCGGCTCCACGCTAATGATCCTTTCGTCCTTGCCCGGAAATCTCTGGAGTTTAACAAAATGGCTTCCTGGGCCGGCCGTGCTCGCGAGATGCGTATCGCATATGTGAACCGTCCAAGAAGGAGCTCGGTTTCAAAAGAGGGAGAACGAGAAAGAGAGAGAAAGTTTATTTTAAATAGAAAGTCATGTTTAAATAACGCACATTTTGCAAAGCTTACGTTTGACAAATTTTGTCTATCCTCTCTCTCCTCTCTCGAATAAAATAATGCCGTTTAAAATCCCCGTTTCCTATCCCCATCGTGTATTTCATCAGATTATTTTCAGTTTACGCTTTTATGATCGCAAGATGTTAATATTCTACCCATCTCTCGCTTCGATAGTACATCAGAAATCATCGTATACCTATCTCAGGTAGTACGATAAAGCGCACGCGCCATCAGCATCGGGAACGATCGAGGAGTAACCTTGTGAGACTATTACACGCGGATTAACTTAAGCCGCGTTTTACGTACATACGATATCCGCACCGCGCCGCGCCAGTGCGGGAGAGGAGGGCGGTATGGGCGGCTGATCGCTAAAATAAAAATTACGGAAAGTAGATGCGCGTCTAATGAAGGGTTAGAACGGGCGGTGGGGTACAGTTACGCGATTAAAGCCTCGATGTCGAGTATATAGCGACCTTCTTTCCGCCGCGGCGTAACCTCGGCGATAAGAGGATACGCGTACTCTAAATTCCGTACGCCCTTCCTGGTAATACAGCCGGGGGAGCAATTTAGCGTACGGCTTGGCGCTCGACGAGAGGCAGAATTTTCCGAAGTTCGCCTTCAATACTTTACGTGCCTGCGCGAACCGGTCATCTACGCTCCAGCCAACCCCCCGGCCGTCCACAATCTAGTCCAATTAAATGTTTTTCACCGCGCTTCCATCGTCTGTCCAGTATTCGGTTTATCCGGCGTCTTTTTAGCGTGCCAGGCGAACACACCGTGGCGGAACCTGAATCATAAAGCCATCGATTACACTCCGTCGATAATGAGTGGTATCCTTTATTACTCGGCTCGATGTATCCACGCGAGACTCATCTCAACCTCCGCTAGTAAGGACCGCCGCTAAGGATCAGTTCGCATTGACAGAAGTGATTAGTATCGCGCGTCATGATCACATTAAAAGAAACGCTTACTCGTTGATTAATCCCTCGATTACTTAATCTTGAATTGATATTTCTTTCTTATATACAGTCCGTTCAGGCTGTCATTTAGACACGATCGTAAAATTATTATTAATCGTTCGCTATTTATCTATTTTAGCCATTTGTCTTAGTCGCTATTACCGCTATCGCATCTTGAGCTATCGGCGTATATATTTAATTTTAAAATCTACCCTAAAGCTGATGAAAAAGCTGTCGGCGTATTCGATCTTGTGATTCGCCTGACGCGAAGAGGAGGAAGACGTTTCTCGACAACGAGAAGAGGAACTATGCAGTTAAGGACGGTGACAGGGTTGAAACGCAACATCTGCGCCTCCATCTGCACTTCTCACCGATCGGCAGCTGGCGGAAGATGAAGGAGAGAAAGGGCCCGCGGGGCCCGAGGAAGACGTCGAACTTTGGCCCGCAAAAGGGATACGCACGTCTCAGCGCGTGCACGATAAATCATTAAAAAGGCGTAGCCCGGAGTGACGTCGCGCCGCCGTTAATAAACGCGCCACCAAACTGTGAATTACGACGGCCGTGAACGAGCGGGGGTTGCACTCGCTCCCCCGTCGCGGCCTTTGTTTCGCATCAGCCTGTGACCGGGGCTCCACTAAGCGACGGGGGATGATTTACCTTCCATTTCGTGAAAACACGCACTTGCAATTATTTATCCGAACACTCATTACAGTCCTCGATTATGACGTTTAACAAGACTAAATCAGCTTTTAAAATCTGTACCTTCATTTTTGTCACGAAAACATCTAAGAGTAAGAATGTAGGAATTTTTTTTCTGATTATCGTGACTTCATTAGTTTTTCAAGTTTGAACAGTGATTATAATTATGACTGAAATAATTAAACAGCAATCGTTATCTTTAAGATTTTTTTATATTTTACATTTAATATTAATATTATTTACTTTATAGATTTATTTTTACGAAGATTTAATTTTGGTTGCAGCTGTCATTATTTTGAGACGGAAATATTTAGTGATATCTTTATTCTCATTTCTCTTAACTCTCAACTAACACAATAGAATTTCTTTCGTGCACATCCATTAATGTGAGTCAGGTTTCCATTACCGTCTTAAACATGTCGTCCTTAATGCAAATATATTTCATTAACGGTTATATGATTCCGTCGCGTGATGGGACAAAGTTTAGAAGACTTTATCGTGGGGTGCGTTACATCTCATCAAGAATACCGTCGTGCCTTTTAAAGCTTAAAAACACTGGCGTATTTGTTCTAATACGAAACCGATGCTAATGGCGATATATCATAGCCGATCTCCGGCCACCCTATTCCACCCTTCCTCCCTGCCACCTAGAAAACGTCACCATGAATCACAGCGGAGATGCTAATGTACCAATTTATCTCGTT